CTAGTGTGGACAGCCTGGTTCGGCTTTGAGAATGTGAACCTAAAATAAAACCAGTCCACCAGGTTCCACGGCTCCTTTCCCTATGTTTAAACTCTAGGTGCAAAAAAGCTGGAAGGTTAAGTTCTTTTGAGTAAGACTTTTTTTTTCCTTTTTAGAAAAAATGCTGGAAACCCTTAAAATGTACCAGTGCGCTAAGCAAAGCCGAAACCAAAACCAAATGAATAAACAAAAGAGCACCTCAAATCCAAATGGTAGAAGTCCATATGCTTGTGGAATACAGCTCTCTTTAAGGTAGTTGGTGACCTGCAGGGAGTAGTCACAGCTTTGCTTGATTTGCAGCTCCAGTGGGCAGGAATTCAGCATTTGTTCTTTTTCACACTTGTTGGATTCTCTACCTTGCCATTTGCTAGGCTTGTTCTACACATCAGCGAATCTAGATGGCTTTACTCAGTCCATGAGAAGCTATCATTTTGGAATCTGTGTTCATAAAGTCCTCATTGGTAGAATTGTTGTTATTGTCCTTTGGAGTTTTGCATACTTAATAGTTTGCCTCCCCTGTCTTTACTGAATGCCTAGCTAAGTTCTTGGGTCTGGCCTGTAGGCCTTCTGTGAAACTTTTGTCTCCTTCCCCACATTCCTGAGGGCATATTAGTATTCCCTCAAGATAAAGCTTGCTCATTTTATTTATTTATTATTTATCTATGGTCAGGGTCTTACCATGTAGTCCTGGCTGCCCTTGAACTTGGAATTCTCCTGCCTCAGCCTCCTGAATGCTAGGAGCATGCTACCATGCCCACTAAGATAAAGTTTTAGAGAATTTGAACCATCACGACTCTACGATATAGAGGTGAGACTGTATCTCAGGGGCAGAGGCCTTGCCGGGCACACACAGGTCCAGGTTCCCTGGCATATATAGAGGTGAGACTGTATCTCAGGGGCAGAGGCCTTGCCGGGCACACACAGGTCCAGGTTCCATCTCTGGCGTGGCAAACAAGATAAAACAAATATATGAAAAACCCTATAAAGTCGAGATTTCTAAAACTAGTAGTATGCTAGTAGTATGTCGTCAAAGTGAGGCTCTTCGTACAAGCCTGCTGCCAGGGCGTGCTTTCTTCAGCCTGACAGAAACCCTTCGGTTGCTTCCTTTTTCAGTCATTAAAGTTTTACGGAGCAGCTGGTTATCATAACCATTGTAGCACCTTCCCAAGGACTAAAATAATATTACTGAAATATTGGCTTTTGTGTTTTTAAAAAAAGCTAAAAATTCCTTTTCTTTTTCCTCTTGAGTCCATTATCATTTCTCATAAATTCTTTTAGGATGAAAGTGCTTTCATTTTGCACTAGCTGGCGAAGGCCAGGCTCTTCCCCCACAGGGGTCACCTGGCCAGTGAGGTGAAGGTAACAGCGATCCCTTGATGTCAGGGGCATCAAGGTTTGGCTTCTGGCTTTGCCCTTTGCAGCCACTGCTGAGGGCTCGTGAGCTGCTGTTTTCTTAGTTTGTCCCCCTACCTCCGTGAGCCATATCATGAAATGAAAAGTTATTGTGTGCTTTATTCCTGGTTTTGACCGTATTTGTTAGGCAGTGGTTTAGCTACAAAATTATCTCACTTCCTTCTGTCTAATTCCCCATCTGTAAGAAGGTAGAGTAAAACATTTTTGCTAATTTTTTTTATTTTTGCAAAATTCATTGTAACTCATCAGTAGAAGTTTCAACTGAAACCTTCTTATAGATTTTACTAATGTCCCTGAGGCAATTTTTTAACTCATTGACCAAGATTGAGGAAATATTAATTTTGTATTTTGGAGCAAATGACAATAATCCTAGTTTATTTCGATTTGTTTTCACTGCACATACTATCTAGGTTTACTGTGGTGTTGTCAGAGGCAGGTAACACAGAAAGAGCTTCTTTGTAATCATCTTATCCCTTAGGGTATTATAAGTTACTCTGTCCTCATTTTATATCAGATTTAGGGCGGTGGAGGTAGTGGCAGGGAAGGGGAATAAAAGAATTAAGATGCATTGTGTACGCCTACTCCCCACTATGAATACCATCATTATGTACTGCACACATGTACTAATAAAAATAAATATTTAAATTTTAAAAAGACTATAGCTGCTCTAGTGTTGATCATTGCAGCCTTCCAAAGGAGCCAGAGATGGTGCTATGGTACAGTTAAATCTATGTACATAGAATTTGTATGCTGGAAATTAGCCCAAGATGATAGTACTATATTTAGAGTTGAGACGTTGGAGAAATTATTAAGCCCTGAGGGCTCCACTCTTGTGAATGAGATCAGTGCCCTTGTAAAGAGAATTCAGAGAGCTTCCTGTTGCTCTGTGCTTTCTACAGTGGGAGCATACAGCAATAAGGCACCATCTTGGAAGGAGAGCCAGCTTCTCTGGCCTTGACTTCCCAACCTCAATGGCTAGGAGAAGTCGATTTCTATTTTTTATAAATTAAAAAATTCTCATATCAAAATTTCAAGCTATGTAGGTCTACTGCACAGTAGGAGAAGTGGAAAGTGTGCTTCAAGGCTCCCAAACATACATAAATACCTTTAATATCTACTGACTGCTACAAGTCACATATTTTGTAAGAATCGGTTTTCTTTATAATCTGGTGCTTTTATTTCATGAGTTTAAAATATCAAGCTATATCATGGTGATATAGGGCCTCCAAATAATATAGGGGGAATAAAATAACTCCAACCTGCTAGATGTCAAATACTCTGAATTTGTATTTCCCAAAATTGGAGAATGAATTTTTAGGAACAATGGAGGTTAAGAGTAGGAAATATTTATTGAGGGAGAGAGACTCTGAGAGGCAGGAGGGGACCCAAGTGGGTTGCCACAGAGCCCACTTTACAGAGGAAGTTTTATACAGCAAAATCATGAGGTGTATAAAATCGCAAGGTGGATACAATGTGGGCCGAAACTATGGACAACCAATAAGATTACAAGTGTAGCGGCTTGGGTAATATTGACTCAGTGGGGAAGCAGGTCACGTAGCAAACACACATGTAAATAACAAAGACCTTTTTTGGAAGAAAGAATCAAGAAGTCCTGGTCACCCACCTGGGTGACTGATGTCTATCTAGACTCTATCGGATGAAGTGATCCGATTATAACATATTGCTTACCCTTTGGGAGGCATGTAGGTCTGCTCATTCTGTCTTTAGAAAGCTGGCCTTCCACAGATGTGCCTTCAGCCACAGTTGTACTGTATTCTCACCTTCTGCATGACTCCCTGGAGGGTCTAGCCTTGTCCAACTGCCTTAACATTTCTATCTAACTTAGATGTCTATAATAACAGGATCCCTACACTTCTCTAGACTGGGGAAATACATGGAACCAAAGAAGATTCAGAAGCCCCAGGATACTCCTCTCAAATGCACACTTTTATATACAGACTTCTCAATCCTGTGAAAGATTGGGTTTCTTATTCATTTAAAAGTGAATTACCAAGGGCTGGGCATTTAGCTCAGTGGTTTGGTGGCCTTCCTTGCAAGCGCAAGGACCGGAGTTCAATCCCCAGTACCCCCCCCAAAGTAAACTACCATTCACAGTATCTAGAAGTGCATTTCTAAAATTTAGAAAAGAATGATGAACCTGTATTTCTCCTTCATGGACCTGTAGGATGCTGGCACGGTGGTGCCTGGTAACAGCAGCTCTACAGCTCCTCGGATCTTCCACAGCTCCTGTTGTATCCTTGTGTCAGTTCATCCCTTTCCAAGGTCATAGTGAACACCCATATTTTTAACCGATGAGAAAGCTCACCAACTGTCTGCACTAATCAGTGTGCCGGTGGAGGAGCAAAGGAAATCCAGAAGGCTGATCACTATATCCAGAAATAAAGCACGGCTCCTAGAAAACGTTTAAGCCAGTAGGGTGACTCTGCTGGAGGTTTTCCCTGCATTGTTTTCCCTAGAAAAAGGATAGGGCTTTCCCTGCTGTGGCAATCTTGAGTCAGTTGCAAAAAGCCAGCAATTAAAAAGGGAGTGAAATCCTTAACAAAACACAAATACTCCCTAGGGGAGCTTTTTTGCAAAACTTTCAGTCTGGAGAAAGTTGTAGAATTTGAAGCAGTTTTTAAAACACATTTTATTTTTTAGCATTTTTGCTGCATTGTTTGAAAAAAATGTTCTTTTTCTAACTAACATTGTTAGTTTCTTTGAAGTAGAATGAAGAACATTATTCTACATTTCCTGAAAATGAACTTAACACCAGTAAATATGATGTTATTCCATATAGTCTGTGTGGGAAAAGGAATTTTTTTTATAACTAAAAAACTTGTCGCTATGGTTCAAACCTAGAAAAATATAAAAGATGAAGGTAACTCTTCTTAAGCTATCTTTGACCAATAATACAGAGAAATTCAGTTTTTCCTTTCTTTCAAATTCATGTATTGAGCCTTTTCCATACTATCAAACAATAACTTGGTAACATAAAGTTATGGTTGAGCTAAAATGTATATGTGTCCTAATTTATTTTGACTATTCCCTTTCTATCTTTTGTACGTGTGTGCGTGTGTGCGTGTGTGTGTTCAAGGTGTAAGGAAAAGGGCATGCTTAGAAGTAAGAGGTATGTTCAGTTTCCTTAATTGAGTAAACTTGGCTTAGTTATTTTTTAGGCCTACGCTTACACCTTTGCACCGTGACTACTTTCTAGGTGCTGATAATGAATATTTCCTCCAATTTCAAAATTTCATAACCTTAAAATATAGCCAGGATGGTCACTTTCTTTTTTGGCCACCATGAGATGAAACAGTGGAAAATAACAGCAAACTGCAACGATCAGGGAAAGAAACCTAGCAAAGTGGCCTGAGAATGAGGAGGTTTGTTTGTAAAGCAGTGTGTAGAACTGGGCTGGCAAGAAATCTGACTCTTAAAATGGACGGGTTCCCCTGGATTAGAATCTCTCAATTGTGAGGTAGTGCAAGAAACTTGCATTCTGTACCGTGTTTCATCGATATGGAATGTTTGGGTGTATGAGCCTTTAAAATAATCAGATGAGGAAGGCTGCCTCTCTACAAGGCGCTGTGCTGTCTCCTTTAGCACATCCGCAGTCCCGGTTTAGATGTAGATCATATCACATCTCTGGATGGTTTGGACTTCCCTGGATGAGTATGTTCTTCCCTCCTGAGCAACATCTCTTTCCATTAACGATTGTGTGCTTCTTTGTTTAACTGCCGTGTTTACATTACTGACAAGTATAATGAATAGAATGATGCCCTTCCCAAGTTCATACTTGAAAGATCTAATCCCCAGAATATGACTGTTTGCAGATAAGGCCTTTAAAGAGGTGATTAATTTAAATCAAGGGCAGCAGGGTGAGTCTTAATCTAATTAAACTGGTTCCTTACAAGAAAAGGAAATCTGAGTGGACAGAGACGCTAGGGGCCACTGCATGGGGGAATTGCTGAGCACACAGTGAGAAGGCTGCCATCCTCAAGACTCCGAAGAGTCTCGACCTGTCACTGTTTACATCTAATCTCCAGGACTGTGGCCAAATGAATTTAGGTTGTTTAAGCATTCAGTCTGTGGTGTATTCTCCCTCTCTCTCTCTCTCTCTCTCTCTCTCTCTCTCTCTGTCCCTTTCTCTCTGTCTCTCTCTGTCTCTGTCTCTCTCTCTCTCATACCTGGGATCGAACTCAGGATTTTGCACGTCCAAGGCAGGTGGCAAACCCCTGAGTTAAATCCCCAGCCCCAGTCTGTGGCATTTTCTTACCGTACAGAATGGCACTTCTGTCCACTTCCTCTTGCCGCCTCCCTGCTAAGGTTTTCTGATAACACTAATGCTTATTTTATAATTTCTCTGCTCTCTCCCTGTCCTTCAGGGTCGTTTGTGGAGTGGCAGAATGCTGTAGAAAGAGAGAATTGGTATGAGGCAGAGAGGGTCAAGATTCACAGGGTAGGGGCTTGAAGGTCTGCTTTAGTTTGAGCTGTCAATTATACCATTCACTTAGCCTTTGTGAACTCCACCTTAAAAAAAATTTTATTGGTACATTTTAGGTATAAAACACAGTTGCACTCATCTTTGGTTTCTTGTACCTTTACATGACGTATCTTAGTCATTTTTTCCCCATTCCCTTGGCCTCCCTTCATCCCCTCCTCCCTTCCCTATTTACAAAGACTGCATTTTTTTCCTTTTCTCTTATTTTTCTCTTCCCTTCTTACCTTTCCCTTACCTTCCCCACTTCTCCTACACCTTTACATCTTTTTTCCTATTACACAATATCAATTATACATGTTGATCCTTATTTACACTTCTAGTTTTTCACACCAGAGAAACTATACGGTATTTACACATGTGTATTCTATTAATTTCACTTTCTATGCTCACCCATGTTTATAGCAGCACAGTTTGTAATAGCTAAAACTTGGAAGCAGCCAAATTGTCAGTCAACTGGAGACTGGATAAAGAAGATGGGATTTAATGAAATGGAGTAGTACACAGCCATAAAGAATGAGAAACCAGAGACATTTATTGCTAAGTGGCTGCATGTTGAGGACATACTCTTAAGTGAAATTAATAGGATTCCACTTGTTTTAATCTCAAACATGGCAATTGTCATTATCATTTTGTTATAAATATAGATGAGGTGGTGTATATAAGCAACTTAAAGTATATGATATATGGGAAATGTTTAATAAGTCACATTTAAAAAGTATTAAAATTAGCAGTTACTAAGATACTTTGCAGCTTATGAATGGGCTCTACGTCCCTTTGATTGCTTCTGAACACTTGATTTCATCTATCATCTGGCTAGTTTTGCCCAGTGCACCATGCAACTTTCCAAGTTTCTTTATTCATCCTTCTGTCAGAAGTAATTGAGCAATCCCTCAGGGTCCAAGAGGAGTACAGGGAGGAGAAGGCAGAAGCTCCCTCATATTGCTCATAGTTAGGGGAGAATCACACGATAGGGCAGTATAGGCAGGTAGGGTGGTATAGGACATAACGTTGTGCCGGGACGTATCAAGGCAGACGTTCTCTAGTAGGGCTACAGAGAGGTGGGCAGCACCAGTGAAAGCCTGAGGAGAAAGGGCGCTTGTCCAGCATGGTGACCTCTCTTGCAGGAAGCGCTTCACTTCCCTTTCCTGTACACCCGTACCTTTCCAGCTGTTATTCACCACTTCTGTAAAGCCTTTTCTGTTTTAAACTAATAGAATCTGTGCCTTCTCTAGTAGGTATTTCGTATATACCTTTCCATTTAAATAATGAGCTTTCAATAATAATGAATTTGAGAGATGAAGAAGTAGTATCAGCGACCTAAAAATACGCCTGGAAAAAAAAAAATCAGTTCAGGAGAAATCACGTGGGTGGCTGCCCTAGAGCGCCGGGCACCTCGCTGAGGATGGGGTGTGAGGTTGTGTTCATTTTGGTTACCGGCTTGAGAAGCAGACCCATTATTTAACCTGGGACTTTGCCTCTGGGAACAAGCTTACACATTTTCTTGGAAGCAAGGAAGTTCTCCCAGGTTTTCCATACTAAACTGCGCTATGGCTTGAGAGGTGTTCCTAATACAAAGCAGCCCATGTAAAATCTCCGTTCCTACTTGTCCTCTTCATTTCTCCGTGCCTGTTGGTGCTATCAAACTCTTTGCTTCGCGGAGGTTTTTAACGCATCAGCAAAGCCATCCATTCCTCTTAGAACATCTTTCTGTGCTATGCATAATGGAGAAAGCTTTGAATTTGGCAGCAGAGGTATCAGCGGCCCAATGTTTTTAATTTTTAAATTTTTAGGGGCTAGAAAGAGCAATATTTTAAAGTTTTCATTAAAAACTCAAAAAGTTCATGGTCTTTATAAAAAGTGGTGAGCAAAATTTTCTACTGGAAACTTTTTAGAAATCTCCATGTAACAAAACAAGTGTCACAAAGTTGAGGCAGTTTTGGGAAAAGCATCCATTTCATAAACAGCAGCGACAATAATAAATGAGAATTTTATTTATTTATGATCTCCTGCATACTGTGGTTGGATTTTACACACTTCTCCTCATTTCAGCCTTCCGATGCCTCTGTGAGGTGGAGGGGCAGTTTTTCCATTTTACAGATGGGGAAACTGAGTCTCAGTTTCCCCCAGAGCGAGAACGGAGGCAAGCTGAGCCTCCGCTGGGCTCCAGTTGAGAATGTGTCACTATTTCTGTGTAGAGCCTCTCATCAACAACTTTGCTCTACACATGGGATGGGGGAAGAGAAGAGGGTCTTTTATATTCCTGTTTTTCTTCCCTCCAGATGCTCTAAGATGAGTAAAGTCCCTTCTTGTGCACTTGCCATGCACCCTTAGGAGGAGAGAGGTGAAAAAACACTCAGGTCTGCGTTTCAGGCTATTATTCACTTTTTCTGAGAAGTTCTTCTTGCTCTCACAGCGTGACTAAAAGGGTAGTGGTCAGACCGCGGTGCTGAGGAATCACTGAAAGCCAGCAATTGCACTGCATGGGCAAGTTTGTGCTGGAAAGTGTATGCAAATTCTCCTTTCATTTGTGGTCAGGAAGTTTCTAATTATGGAACACACACACACACACACACACACACACACACAGAAACACAAAATACACACGAGCTTCACATCTCTCACCTCAGACTTGAAAGACTCTGTACACTCACTAAGACTGATTATTTAGCTTAGACATAAGAAACAGGCAAACAAACAAACAGAAAATCCCATTGTTTCACCACTATTCATTATAATAGTTACTAAGTCTAGTTGCAGTAAAGTTTCTAGGACTGAACTAATTCTGGGGGATAAAAACCGTTTCCTAGGTTTTCCTAGGGTTTAATGTGAATTGTTGGATAGAAATGATTTAATTCCACAGAAACCTAAAATATTGGCTCCTGCTGTTAAGTTATAGGAAGGAGAAAAACCAGTGAGAGAAAGTCTGTCCTAACTGGATTGGAAATGTCGTCACTGTCTGGCAATCATAACCAATAATTTTGTCCTGAAAAAAGTGACCATATAGCAATAATTTTCCCATAGGACTGCTTTGTTATTTCCTTTGAACATAACATTGGGAAGAAAAGTATACATAAAATAAGATTTATCCACCTGTATTGGATTTTTAAAAATAAAATTAAAAAATTTGAAATAATTTAAGAATTGCAAAAATATTGTAGAATTTCCATATAACCTTTACTTAGTTTTCTCTGATATAATAGGTAACATAACCATAATATATTAAAACCAGGAAACTGACACTGGTACAGTATTTGTAACTAGACAATAGACCATTTATGGAGTTTTTCAGTCCTTTGTATATACGTATTAGATTTTACTCAATCTGCCAACTATTCATTTTTGATTGGTACTTTATGTCAACTCTCCATTTAATACTGTTAGAGATATGATTGAATTCCATTATTCCACTGTGCTTTCTGTTTTCTATAGATCCCATTTCGTTTTTATATTTGTTTATTTTTATTCTTCTGCTCCTTGTACGAAGTAGGTAATTTCTGATGGTCCATTTTCATTCCTTTGTTGATATTTTAATTGTGCATTTTGTGAGATTTTTAGTAGTTGCTTTAGAAACTATGTACCTGACTGTATTACAATCTGCTTCATATAAACAGTAGCTTAGAAGCTGTAAAATGTAGAAACTTTGCATGCAGTTACAATCCTTTCCCAGTCCTTTGTGTTATTGTTGTCTTATGCATTATGCCCATTAGTTTATAAATCCAATAATGTAGCATTGGAATCAATTGCTTTTCACATTCTATGTCTTTTAAAGAAATTTAGAGATGAAAAGAGAAAATTACATTTATAGAATATTTTATATTAACATTTATTCCTCATATTTATGCTTCTGGCACTTTTTATTTCTTCCTATGGATTCAGGCACCCCGTGGGTATTCGTTCCTCCGCCGTAACTTCACTCTCTCCCTCCTCTTTGTGCTGTAATTTTCATATATACGTGTGTGACCATTAAATATATCCATACATGCATATCTACATATTTATTAAAACATGTGCACATGCACATATAAATACACACCTGCAGATCCCCACACACACTTTACATAGAACATGCACCCATCACACAGGGATATACACATACCTAAGCACAACAGCACAATCTGTCTGTTATTATTTTATGATTTTCACTTATTCATCAGCTAAGAAAAGAAAACAG